ACCCAAGGCACGATTAAATTTAAAAAAAAAAGAAAGCTCTTCTTAGAAACAATATGGGTTATAAATTAGATAAAAAGTATTGTATCAATGATAAATTTCTTGATTTTGTTAACTGCACTGTGGTTAGGTTAGACACTGTCTTTGTTCATCTTTGACATGCTGAAGTCTTAAAGGTAAGGAGGTAAATGTATGCAGCTTTCTGTAAAATGGTTCTGAAAATATATTACTACAGAGAAAGGGGATGATAAATGAGGGAAAATTTAAAAATTAATGAATCCTCTTGAAACTTTTCTGTAAGTTTGGAATTATTTCAAAATAAATCGTTTAAAAAAATAGGTTCTTAAAAAAGACATGATATTAACGTCCTAGATCTAAGATCATTAACTTTGCCAAGTATTTGCCTGTATCAAATTTGTTCTTCAAAAAACAGTGGAGAAACCAAAGGCCCAAAGAAGAAAGTATTCTTCAGGACTAATAGCCCAATAAGCACAGTCTCATCTATCCTGAGACTGAAAGAACTCGATGGTGCCTGGCTACCACTACTGACTGTGCTGACCAGGGACAGAATAAACGATCCCGGATAGAATGAGAGAAAAATGTACAACAAAACTCAAATTCTTTAAAAAAGACCAGACTTACTGGACCAGTAGAGACCAGAGGATCCCCCGAGACTGTCACCCTGAGACACTCTTTAAACCTAGAACTGAAACCACTCCTGGAGGTCATCTGTCAGTAAAACAACAGATTCACTCATAAAACAAACAGCATCACCTGTGAGTACTGTGCTCTTAAAAAAAAAAAAAAAAATCAACTACTTGAGACCAAACAGTCAACATTTACCCTAAAGCAAAGATGAGAAAGTAGGAGGTGGGGCAGGTAGGCTAGATTAATAGAAGCAGAACAACCAGAGTGGAAATGAGAATGTTTACACATTCTGAAAAGTGTAACCAATGTCACTGAACAATATGCATGGAAACTGATAAATGTAATCTTAATTAGCTGTGTACACTTTCACCAAAACCAATAAAATATTATCTAAAAAATAAAATAATGGAGGAAAAAATCTTCCATGATTTATTTTACTCTCTTGATGCAAATTTTGCAGTTAACTTATTCTGGTTGACCCAACAGAAGTGTTCCCTTGCAAAAGGTGACATATAAACACATGTAGGTGTTTAGGCATATATGTGTATGGTAGTTACAGGTGAGTACATATGTGTGCATAGATAGGAGTATCTATATGTGTCTGTACAGATAGGTGTGTGCCCGCATATGTAATCATAGAGGACACAGTTACAGATACTTCTCAGACATAACCAAGCACCTTGTGAGAATGGTTTTCTGGGTTTGAGGACTTAGGAACTTAGTCTCATGGGACAGCTCAGTCAGTTGGTACCACAAAGTTCATGTTTGGCATCCTAGTGAGATAAGTAGCGTCTGGGGTCTTAAAAACTGGCAAGCAGCCATCTAAGATACAACTATTGATCTCTACTCATTAGGAGCAAAAGAAAAAGAAGAAAACCAAAGTGTCAGAGAAGAAACTAGTCTACAGAGCTAACAGCCTACATGAACCACAAACTCATTTACCCTGAGACCAGAATTAGATGGTTCCTGGCTAGTACTACTGACCATTCTGATCAGGGCCACAACACATGGACCCTGAGAGAACGGGAGAAAACATGGAACAGAACACAAATTCTTAAAAAGTCCAGACTTACTGTACCAGTTGAGACTGGAGGACTCCCCGAGACTATTGCCCTGAGATACTCTTTAAACATTCAACGAAAAATATCTCCTGAAGTCATCTTTTAGCAAAATAGCAGATTGTCACAAAAAATAAAGGATATTTACCTGTGAGTAAGGTGCTCCATTAAAAAGCCATTTACGTGAGACCAAAAGGTAAACAATTGCTCTAAAGCAAAGATGAGAAGATAAGAGGACTGGGAAACTAGAGTTCTAGAAACAGAACAACCAGAAAGCAATAAAGAGAATGTTGACACATTGTGAAAAATATAACAAATGTCTCTGAACAGTTTGTGTAGAAATTGTCAAATGGGAACCTACTTTGTTGTGTAAACTTTCACTGAAAACACAGTAAAATGTTTTTTTTTTTTTTAAACGTGACATATGAAAAGCTGTATCAGCCTTTAAAATATATTTCACATCAAAATCTCATCCCCAGTCTCTATGGTACTGTTAAGATGTAATCAATATGCTAGAAACACCCAGGGTCTGAGACTCAGGAAAACATTGGCTTTCAAGAAAGGTGACCCTGTAACTTGCTTCCAAGTCAGGGGCGAGGGACGCAGGTCTTTTTTGATTCAGCAGAGAAATCAGTGAATTTCTATGATTTTCGCAGTGGAGATTCAGCCCTACAACCCTGGGGTCTGAAACAGAAAACTAGAATTTTAAGACAAGATGTGGAAACACCTAAACAGTTGCATTCAGTCTCTAATCATATCTATCCTGGCAGACATTCACTGTGTCTCTACAATGCTCAGGGCACTAAGGTAGACATGGTCCCTGCTCTCTGTTAAGTTTATTCATGTGGGAGAGACAAGCCTTAAACAGTGGATTTCTGAATTACAACTAGGCTAATTGACACCAAGGAGAAGCACAGGGTATTCTGACAAAATACAACGGGGAGTAGTCCCTGTGAGGGGTGTCAGAGAAAGTTTCTTGAGAAAGTCTCATTTGTGCTGTGCCCAAACCCTTGGACTCTTCGTTAATTCCCCTCTGTCTCACACCACATCCAATCTGTTGACACATTCTACTAGCTCTATTTCCAAAGCATATCCAAAACAGAAGGAGCGCTTGTGACAGTGGTTAAGCGCTCAGCTGCTGAGAGAGAGGTTGGTGGTGTGAACCCACAAGCCGTTCCATGGGTGAAAAGATTTACAGCCTTGGAAACCACATAGGCAGTTCTACTCTGTCCTATAGGGTCACCAGGAGTTGGAATTGACTTGACGGCAACAGGTTTGGTTTTTTTATCCAGACTGTGTCACTACCATCATGATCCATGCCACCAGCATTTATCATGTAACATATTCTGATAACCTACTAGGTGATCTCTCTGCTTCCAACCTTGCCCCCTACAATTAGTTTCTAAGGGAAAAGCTGAGGTGAACTTGTTAAAACCAACTTCACGTCATTATTCAGTTCAAAAGTCTACAATGGCTGGCAACATCTGCCACCACCATCCACTCCATGGCCTCCCAGATTTCATCTCCTACTCTGCTCCCTCTCCCTTGCTCTGCTCTAGCTGTCTCTGCCTCCCTGGGACTTGTAAATGTGATTTGAGCACAGTTTTAGAAGAAATGAGTTTGAAATCATTCTGACACCTCAAGTTGAAATTTACAGTTGGCATTCAGACATCCTGGTTACGATGACCAGGTCATGAAAAGGTGTAGTAATTCATGCAATGCACTGTAGATATTTACCTTGTGCCTGATGAAAAATTAAAGGTTTCAGATAACAAAGAGATAGGATAAGATTTGTGATTCTGAAAAATCACTCGCATACAACATAAACACTTGCATGGGGGTGGGGGCTAGAACAGAAGCAGGTAGATCAATGAGGACCAGTTGCCGAGATCAGGTGAGAGATAAGGGCCTGAGCAAGGGGATGGTGGTGGGGAAGGAGAAAAGGGAATGGACTCTTTCTGTCTACAGCCCATCTCTTGCACAGCTGCTGCGGGTTTTTAATACATACACCCAGATCTGGTCAGTTCCCCTGAGGACAACACCCATACTCCTCAGATCTGTATCAAGACCTCCCATGATTTCTTCTCTGATATCTCCAGAATATTCTTTTGCTCCCATACTATGTAAAGCTCCCTTAACACATCATTTGGCCTCACTCCCTATGCCTCTGCTCATGCTATTTTCTTCTGCCTGGCAAACAGGTATTTATCATTTTAAGACTCACCTCCAGCACTGTGAGAAAGAGAACAGCAACGACAATGTCTAGAAGTTGGCCTGATGCTATGACCCAGGCTTTGATGAGATTAGAAGCTGGCCTGGTGCTCGCAATGAGGCCACGTTGTTCTCCTGTTGGACATAAACGACCTCACGGACACCAAAGAAATGTCACTAGGCAAGCGTAATGAACTAAGACCAAATAAGATCTCTTCATAATTTTGTCTAAGCACAGACAATAACAAGGTCACTGTGCCACCCACAAAATGTGATGGTATGAGCCCATGGTGATGAGGATGATGATCATGGTTTGATGACAATGGGGTGGTGTTGATAAAAACTACCATTTCTGAGCACATACCAAGTGCCAGGAACAGTTGGAAGCTTTCCACATTTAATTCATTTCAACCTCTTAACCACCCACTGAGATGGATTTCATCATTGTCCCCAGAAGGACTCTGTACCAAAGGAGGGAGCAAACTACAACAGACCCAACAGAATCATAGGTGCCCTCCAAGGCTAACTGGCTTTTTAGACAGTATTTTAGGGATTTTATGGCTGTAACTCAGGCCCACCAAAACTAGCTTGATCCACAGCTACTACATATTTAAAAATTAACCAAATAATATTCGGACTGAAGAGAATTCTATAATAATAATTTATTGAAAGTTCTTCTTATGCCAGACCCAGTTAGAAGTAGTTTGTATCACTTAATCTCTTTTAATCCTCACACCCAATGCAAGGTTCACGTTATTATTCCCAAATTAAAGATGAGGAAACTGAGGCAGAAAGAGGAGAGTAATTTACACAAGATTCACGCAGGAATGTCTCATTTAATAACATGGCTTATTGACAAAATTTAAGGGTTTAATATATTACAGTGAAAGAGCAGATCATAAAGTCACAGAAATTAAAGGCAGTGGGTCCTTAAAAATATTTTCAAACATACATGGATTCTCATGAAATTGTTGGCATGTTTGTTACAGAGCAGGGAAAATCCATTGTGAACAAGCTCTCGTGGAAAGTCAGCTGAACGTTAATGTGTGGTCTCTACAGCCAGGACTTGTCTTAGATGATTCGGATTCAGTGGGTCCAGACTGAGTCTTGAGCATCTGTGTCATTTTGAAAAGGTCCACAGGCCATGCTGATGTGCAGTATGGGTTGAGATCTTAAGAGTCTTAGAGTTTTCAGAGTTCCAGTCCAAACTTCGCTTGCGAAGTTTAAAAGTAGGAAGACATACAGGGCATCGTCAAACTGAGGCAGAGAAGAACTGAAAGTATAAAAACTCTCCAAGAGAGAGTCAAAAAAAGGCATGCTTTAGTTTTACTATTTCTCTGTAATTTTTGTTGTATCTAAAATATTTTACAACTAACATACTTTTTCTTAAGTAGCAAGGCTTGCAAAGAATATTAGCAATGAATAGCAAAAAAAACATATTCTAATAATAAATGAGTCAGTATTTAATAAATAATAAAGAAACTTAAATTTAAGGTGATACTGAAAAGAAGAATTTCACAGTCATCAATTTAATGGCACTTCAGATTCTTGTAGCAAATAGCACTCGGTAAAAGGAAAATTATTTCGAATTCAACACTGCTATAGATGTACAAAGGAGTCCTGGTGGGCAGCAGTAAAAGCGATTTGCTACTAACCCAGAGGTTGGCAGTCCGAACCCCCAGCCCCTCTGCAGGAAAAAGATGTGGCAGTCTGCCTCCATAAGGATTACTACCTTGGAAACCCTCTGGGGAAGTTTTGCTATGTCCTATAGGGTTGTTATGAGTTGGAACCAGCTAGACGGCGATGGGATTGATTTTTTGGACAGATGTACTGCAGTGTACAGTTTTTGCATTGATTTGGTCAATATACACTGAAAGCTGGAGAAGAAATAAGGTTGAGTTTAATCCACTTAGTTTCACTCATTTCACCAGAGTGCCTCCAAGTGTTCAGCACTTCTGTAAATATTTACCTATCTATCCAGTTATTTCACCAAAGCACAGTAACACCCACTATTTGCCAGAAACTGCTGTAAGTACTATACTAATATTAAATGTCATTTAATCTTCACAGCCACTATATGAGGTGGGCATTATTGTCATTCATATTTTTCAGGCCAGAAAACTAAGGCACAGAATGGTTTAGTAACAGGTAAGCCCCACTTCCACCCAACAACTAAGAATTCTCCAGCTACAAATATCAATAGTACTGAGGATGAGAAACCATGGTCCTGTCCTCCCAGGTTCTGGATATATGAATTATCAAGGCCAAAACTTCAGAACTGGTTGCTTGCAGACCACAGATATGGTGTGTTTGAATTATTCAGAATTTCTTTCTTTTTATAACTTACAGTCCTGGCCCACATTTAAAAAATTAGAAGATTTCACATGAAAATCTGCATTTCCAGCTTCTTTCACCATCTTGGAAAATGTGGCAATATCTGACATTCCTACCAAGTACGCGGTACCTGGACCTGTGCCATCTAGATGGGGCGTCCACTTTCCAGGCTGCCCCAGGTGTTACCTGGCTTGTTGTGGTCCTTTACATTCCTCCCTGCCCCTCACTGATCACAGAAATCTAATGATCTTCTCCAGGAGAAGAAGACACACGGCCTCTATATAGAGCCTGTTGCATGATGGGACAGCTCGTCCTCTCACTGAGTCTAAATGGCTCTCTACTCACTGATCTAGGAACAATTCCCTGTTGCCACATTGAACAAACCTCATCTCTCTTCCATCACATAGCCCTCATGTTATTTGAGGATTCCAAACATCATCTATACTTTGCCAGCAGTGACATTCTATGTCCACTAACCTGCTCTCCCGTTTCCTTTTACTCACAATGATTTCTTCCGACTTTTCTAGGGTCACTCTGAGCAGTATTTCTGAGGAAAGGTAGGTTGCTGTGCTTTGCTTCAATCTGAGTAAGTTCCAATCAAAGTCTGTGTAGACCAGGTGGAGCAACTGGTGTGGCGTGGCGTGGCGTCTTTGCCTCTCCTTCTGAATCTGATGCTCCACAGCTGCTTTCTGTAGTTCACAGTCATGTGAAATCCTAGAGTGTGAAACAGGGTATTTACACAGGAGTTAAAGCCCATCCTTGACTAGAATCGAATAAAACCTAAAAGGACATGGCCAAATGGCATCCTTTTCATATGTGAAGGCAGCATGCTATTCTGTGGTGGAATTGCTTTTCTAGCTGTACCTAGTGGGTATGTGCAGACCCTCCTGTGTTTGACATAATGGTAAGGGGTCCAGGAATCACAATATGCTTTGCATATATCCTTGTATTTCTGTTTCTTAAATATAGACAGATGTCATACTAATTCATCAAGTACAAATCCATTTGCAACCATTAAAATGGATTTGATTCTGTCTGTGTGCTATCTTCTTAAACATGGAAACTAAAAGCACACGAGGTTCACAGTCCCTCATCTCAAACTCTTTGGTAAGATGAGTTTCAGAATTCAGACTTTTTTTTTTAAACTTTAGAAAAGCAGTAATGTACATATGCTATTGTTATACAATAGCCACAGATAGCCACAATAGCCTGGGTAGCACCCCATAATCAAAAATGTTATTGTTACTATAGTGAAGTGTTTTAAGATACACTAAATGGAATATATATCAAGATTATAACTAGCTTCGTGTCAGTTCAGATAGTTTTGTTGCTAGATTTGATGCAGAAAGTCATTTGTGTTTCAGAGTTTTTTGCATTTCAAAATAGTGGGGAAGGGATTGTTGACCTGTCCAACTTTCAGTAATCTTAGGGAGAGAGTCTGTGAAATTATTTACTTTAAATAATGTTGACTAGACTCCCAAAGTTGGAAACCACTATTATATTGTGTATATAGGGGTCACAAATTCAAGTGCAAGTACAGGTAAAATAAATGAGTAAAAGGGGTGAAGGATGTGAGACAATAGGGAGCGGTGGGGACTGTGGTGAACTACTGGAAACATATCCATTTGAAGAGATAGTTGCTCTTTTAACACCATCCACTTCTTGGCAAGGTAAATGTGGACGCAGTGTAAGCACATCTTCTGATTTTTAATAATACTCCAGAATGCTGATTTCTATGTGAAATCTCTTGATGTTTAAATATTGGTAACTAAAAAGAAGACAACAAGAACATTTCATTAGACCAGGAACACATATCTATAAGCTTTATCTCGCCGGAACCTGCCTTCTCTAGCCCTCTATCTAGTTAGAGACTAAATTCTTATGTTAGGAAAAGCTGATAGTGCGGCTGGTAATGAACCACTTCTTGAGATGGGGGTGGGTACATTTGTTTATACATTATCATTTTATCTTACATATATGTTACTTGTTTTAGAAATGCCTTATTTTCTAGCCAGAAGGTAATTTTATTCTTCACCTATGAACTTGAAACTCATTAAAGTTATTTTAAATAAAATAAAATAAAATATAAAAATAGGAGCTCACTGTTTTAAAAAATACGAATTAAGGCTGATTGGATTTTAACATTCCTACTTTTCCAGGACCATAGTCATCTAATGTAACACTGTGCATCCACCCTTGTATTCCAAATGGGAAAGGTCGTTGGTTTGCTGTCTTCTCAGACCATTCCCCTGGTTGATCTCAGCCCCACATCTAGCACTTCATGACTGATGAGTCCCACTTTTATATCCCTATCCCTGGCATTTCTTCATCCCTAAACTGATTTTGCCGTCTTCGTCATGACCATCTTCACTTAAGGGTCCTGCTAACTTCATGAACTTCATCCTCAAATTGACTTTTCCTGTATCCCCTACTGTACGAATTGATAAACTTTAATCTGCAGGCCAAATGTGTACACTGCCTGTATTATACAGAAGTTCTGTTGTAACACAGGCACACATTCATTTGCATATTGTGTATATAATACAAGTGTAAGACGTAGAGCAGCACAGTTGATTAGTTGAGACTGGGAACTTACAGCTCAGGAAGCCTAAAATATTTACTGTCTGGCCTTTATAAAAGAGTTTGCTTATCCCTGTTCTAGTTCACTGAATACCACCTTGCCCATTCAATCATGTATTAGTCCCCTTCTTTCTCCTTCATGTTCTGTGTACCAGGTTATTATCATGATCTGCCAATTCTGCCTTCTTAGAATCTTTTGACTTGGAATCTGCCTCTCTGTGGCCATCCTTCCTATTACCTTAGTTCACATTGTCATTTTTTCACCTGGATTCTCAATTGCCTTCCACCTGACCTTGCTAGCATGAACAGGATTGTATCCCATTTTTGGACTTCTTGTTCCCTCTCCACCACCATCTTCCTTTTACACATCTGGTCGCCATTTTAATGATTACAACCTTTCCCTCTATATTTTCTTCAGAGGAATTCCTTCCAACATTTTTTGAAAAGGAGAACAACTAACATCCTCAAAATTAGAAGAAAATTAAATTATTGAACTATCTCAATTAAAAGCAGAGAAAAAAGGAAAAAAATGAAAGACAAAAGAGAAACAAAGGACAAAGGCAAAGGAAAAAACAGTTGCCAAAAAAAGGGCAATATATTTACACAACTCTGAAAAAGTACTTTTAATGTGAATGTTCTAAACACACAAACAGAGTCTACAAAACTTGATAAAAAAGAGCCCCGCTTCTATGTTGCTTACAAGATACACACTTTAAATATAAGACACAGATAGATTTTTTTAAAAAAAGGGTTGGAGTATACATACCATGCAACACTAATCAAAAGAGAGCTGGAGTAGCTCTATTAATTTCAAACAAAACAGATTTCAGAGCAAGGAAAACTTTCAGAGATAAAGAAGAGCATTACATAATCATAAAAAGATCAAATCTCCACGAAAATAAACAATCTTGAATGTCTATGTGTCTAATAAAAGAGCATCAAAATACGTGAGACTAAAACAGGTATAACACCAAGGAGAACACCCCTCTATCAGTCACTGACAGATCCAGCAGACAGAAGTTCAGTAAGATAAGTTGAACTGAGCAGCACCATCAATCAACTGGATCTAAATAACATTCATACAATATTTCATCCAACAACAACCTAAGACACATTTTTCTCAAACTCTCAAACCTGATCCTGGGCTAGAAGATACATGAAAAAATTGAAAATATAGCCATCATACTACTTATACTCTCAGATTACAATGAAATTACACTAGAATTCACTAACAGAAAGATAGCTAGAAAATCCCCAAATATTTGGAAATTAAACAGCATACTTCTAAATAACAAGTGAGTCAAAGAACTCCCTTAAGAAATTTAAAATGTTTTGAACAAAATGAAAATGACAACAAAACTTGTTAAAATTTGTGAGCTGCAACAGAGGTAGTGCATGTATTAGAAAAGTAGAAAGATCTAAAACCAAAATGTAAGCTTCTGCCTTAGGAAACAGAAAAAGAAGAAGAAATTAAATCTGAAATAAGCACAAGAAAAGAGAGAACAAAAATTAGAGAAGAAACCGACAAAATTGAAAGCAAGAAATTAATTGAGAAAATCAATGAAACCTAAAGGTGGTTCTTTGACAAGGACAGTGTTATCACATTGCCAAAACTAGGCAAAGGCATTACTAGCAAGAAAAAACAGCAGAGTAATATTTCTCATGAACATAGTTGCCAAAATGCTCACAAAACTATTGGCAGATGGAGTCCAACAGTGTATAAAAATAATTTTACATGACAATGAAATGAGATAAATGCCAGGGGTGAAAGGCTGGTATTACAAAATCAATTAATGTAATTCACCATATAACAGACTAAAGAAGACAGATCAATGATCATATCAGCAGATGCAGAAAAAGCACTGGACAAAATCCAACACCCATTCATGATAAAAACTCTTAGCTAGCAGTAGATGGGAAATTTCACAGCTTGATTAAGAACATCTGTAAAAAACCTACAACTGACATTAACTTAGGGTCACTATAAGTCAGAACCAACTCGACGGCACCTGACAACAACAGCATTAACTTAATGGTCAGAAATTAGATGCTTTTCTCCTAAGAATAAGGGAAATATGTCCCCTCTCACCACATCTATTCAGCATCATACTGGAAGATCTACATAATAAGAAAAATCACAAACATTTGAAAGAAATAAAACAAACTTTTTGTTCACAGATCACGATTGTCTATGTAGAAAATCCCAAAGAAATTAAAAAAAAAAAAATCCTACATCTACTAACCAATTATACCAAGGTTGTATGAAAAAGGTAGAACATTCAAAAGCTCATTGTTTCCTTATATACCATCAAAACATTGTGGTACTGGTGAAAGAATAGACAAATAGATGAATGGTACCAAATAGGGAAGCCCAGAAATAGTTCCACACATTTTGAGTTAACTGGTTTTTGACAAAAGAGCAAAGACAATTAAATGAAGAAATGATAGACTTTTCAACCAAAAGTCCTGGAACAACTGGACACAGACCTTACACTTTTCACAAATACTGTTTCAAAAGGGATCATACATCTATATGTTAAATGTAGAACTCTGCAAATTCTAGAAGATAACATATGAGAAGATATACGATAGTTAGACAAACACCAAAAGCACACAATCCATGAAAGACAAAACTGAAAAACTGGAATTCACTGAAATTAAAAATTTCTATGAACAACACCTTTAAGAGAATGAAAGGCAAGCCACAGACTTAAAGAAAATATTTACAACACATACCTGATTGAGGACTTCTATTCAAAATATACGAAGAACTCTTAAAACTAAGTAAAAAGAAAATAAGCAATCTAATTTTAAAATGGGCAAGAGAAATGTTTTTGCAAGACAAAAAAAGAAGGCGTAGAGGCATAAAGAAATACACCAAGATCTTGGATAGAAAGACACAGTATTGTAAAGACAGCTACAATGGCTGAGACTTTTTGGACACTTACTATGGTCTATATACTTTTCTAGGTACATTACAAGTGTGAACTCAGTACAGATACCCCAAAATTGATCTCTAGATTCAAAACCATACCCATCATAATCCAAATAAAAATATTCATAGAACTTGACATGGTGATTCTAAAATTTATGAAGTTCAAAACCTTAGAATAACAAATTATAGGAATAAATTCCCATGGCACCCCTGTAGCACAGTGAAGTCGTTAATTCAAACTGACTTAAGCCCAGAGTTCTTAAACCATACAACTATTGCTAAGGAGAGGCCCATATCCGTGACCATATTTATTTGATGCTCTCTAGAGAAAAAAACTGATGAATAGGAGCAGGATAAATGCATGCTCCTGAATCATGCAGAATACAAACTGAGAAATAAACAAAAAGGAAGAATAAAAAAAGAAAGGAACCTGGATAATGAGGGAGAAAACAAACAAAAACAACGAATTGGAACAAATGTCCACAATTCGACTCAACTGGAAATCTAAAATTTACTAAAATATTCATACAGCAAAAAAATAAAAGAGTGCTGATTGACTTTTGTGCTTCTACAACATAAGTTCTTAATTAACTTTAACATCTGCTAAATGTTGGCAAACCTTCTTGGATTTACTCAATACTTGGGAATAAATTATACTTCTACATGAGTTCTCACTAAATTAAAAAAAATATTACCCATTATAATCACAAGGGAGTTACTGAATATAAAAGAGGACCAATTGGTATGCCCTACATTAACCATTAGAACTCCTGTCTTGCCTGAAGTCCCCATGGTCAAAGCATCCAGTTCCCTAAAACATCCTATAGTGGGCATGGAGGCTCTGACACCATGAGTAATGAAGTACAATTAAGTCTTTGACACTTAAAAATTGGCTTCAAAAATAGGGACCCAGTGATGTCCCAGATACAATTTAATACAGCCCAAAGTATATTAAAACAGAGCCTTCAAGGATTGAAACTTGTTATACAAGATCTAAGTGATGAAGGGAATTTAACTTAGTTTATCTTTTCTGGTGACTTTAGACGTTACATATCACACAGAAACCTTTGGTAGTGGAATGTACAATAGTGATTTTGCTTCTAGAAATTTAACAAAAAGTTGTGAAAATAATTTTTACTCATTGCTTGACAATTTGGTCTCAGGATTGTGTTGGGGCCACTTCTTGATCCTCCTCCAAGCCAGCCACTCATCTAACTGGTCACACCACCCTGGTCTTCCTTCAAAATCTGATCCATTTCCTCCCTTTTGATGTCCAGGCGGCTTCCCATTAATCCTAAGACTTCATGGTGTTGATTTTTGGGGGTGTGAAAATGCCCAGTGAAGAGGTTTTTCATTAGGACTTTGTCCAATTTTCCTTCAGCTTTGCTTTCTTTCAGCGAGTCATCCTTAAAATTATTCTCAGAGTCTTGATGAAGAGGCTGAGTGGCCTCATTCCTGACTGAAGAAAGCGCCGCCTCAGTTTGTCTAATCCTTTCCTTCAGGGCAAAGTTCTCCTTCTGGATGTCTGAGTTATTTTTTTTTCTGACTTATTTAACAGATTTATTAATTCTTGAAGTTTCTCCTCAAGCCTCTTCTGGGTTAATTGGAAATGATCGAGTTGCAGTACACTTTGAATAAATATCTCTTTCTGTTCCTGCAACTCCTCCATCATGTTCTTTTTGTCGTGTTCAAGTTGACAAACTCTCTTTTGTTCTTTCTCTAGATCTTGCTTGAGTTTAGTGATGATGCTGTCTCCTTCCTTTTGTTGTGTCGATAGCTGATCTTTCATCGAAAGAATGTCCTGTATAGCTTCTTGTTTCTGCCTGTCTGCACAAGATAATTTGATCCTGATGTCTTTTACTGCAGACTCCAGTTCTTCAATTTTTTTGGCAGACTCAACTTCTTCACTTTGGAGAACCTGTATAGTGTTTTCCATCTCTTCCACTTTAGAGTGATCAGGGACTCCTGAGGCACCTTGCTCTAAGAGGTGTTCAAGTTCTTGAATGCGTTCTTCATACTCAGTTAATTTTCGTTGATGCTGACGTCTTATTTCTCTCAATTTCTGTTTATGGGCATCCTGCAACACTGCTGTTTCACGCTGATGGTTATCAGTTGCCTGACTTAGCTTCTGCTCCAGCTCCTTGATGGTGTTTTGGAGGTTGTAGACCTCACTTGAACCAGAGCTCTTGGTTCCTGGTGCCATAGAAGTCTGAGCAATATGCCTGCAATGACCAACTTGAGACTCAAGTCTTGAAACTTCATTGGATAATCTGTTTATTTCTTGGTGTGACCAAATGATGTCACCAAAGTCCATGTCATCGTCATGAAAAGCTGCAGCATGATGACTGGTACCATAGAGGAATGAAGGTGGTGCAGTGGCTGCCGGTCCCCCTCCAGCTCCGGAGTGGACTGACGGAGCGGCTGACTGCAGCTGCAGCACCTGAGCCCGTAGCGCAGTCTGTCTTGCTTTCAGTAGTCTGATCTCTACCTCCTTCTGTTGGAATTGAAGTCGGTAACTTGTAGATTGCTGCTTTAGTTGAAGTTCTGAGGCGTCATACTTCTCTTTTAGTTCATTATAGAGGTTCTGAAGTCTCTCAGTCTCTGATCTTGGGTTTGACCAAATGGCTTCCATTTCCTTTCTGCCAGAGTTAGGGAATGCTTTCACTCTCTCCTTGCCCTTCATTGGCTTATCCTTTGTCAAGTTGGAAAGGTGGCCAGTGAGGGAAGCCACACTGCCACCCACTTGCCCCAGGGAATGGCCCACGCCTGAGCCAAGCTCTGTAATCCAGGAAGACATTGCTGCGGGTGAGAGATCTACCTGGTGCGCTTGAGAAAAGCGTCCACGTCGTCGGACGTTCCCGCCAAGTGTCCTCCAACCACTGCCTTCGCGAGGCTGTCCTGAATCCAAACACTCGTGGTTCCTAGGCAACGGACGCTTGGCGGCTGTGTGGCGGGGGAGGGGCGTGGGAATCTGTCTGGTGTTGTATGTGTATGCCTGCTCGTGTATGCGCACGAGTGATTGCATGCTAAGGCGTGTGTGCACCTGCGGGATGGCGCCAGGGTACGTGCACACACCAGCTCACGCGCCTCAGACGGAGAAGCTTGGAGCTTGGAGCTCGGAGCTCGGAGCTGGGAGCTCGGAGTGGGTGCTATCTAAGAGAAGACATACATTAACCTTTACTTTTTTACAAAGTGGTAACATACTGTATGTTACTCAATAGATAAACGTGATTTTCACATAAATTTTTCTTAATTGAAGGAAAATTTACACAGTGAAATGCATACACTTCTGAGTTCACATCAGTGATTGTTATGAATGCATATGAGGACAAACCCAGTGAAGATATTGGCCATTTCCATCATTCAAAGAATTGTCCACACCATTTCTCCTTCAACTGACAGTCTCCTGGCTCAGCAGCCACTGTTCTGACATCTGTCCCCATAGATGAGTTTTGTTTTTTCTGAACCTCATACACCTGGTATCATACCATGTGCACGTCCTTGCGTCTGGCTTGTTTCCACGTTTTGAGCTCTAGCCGTCGTATTAACATTAAATATCAATCTATCTGTCAATAGGCAAATTTATTGAAAGGTCCTAGAAGATTATCAGGCACTTAGTTGGTGCTCAACAGATGGCAGCTTTTCACCAAAGGAAATAACTTGAAAGTCCTTGGAGCTGGGAGGTGAGCTGCTCCCTCCCTCCACAGTTTCTTGACCTTGGCTGGGAAGTGATGTAGGAGCCACCAGGCAGTCTCGCACACAGTCTGGCCTAAACATTTGGGCCACCTCTGCAGTGCAGCCTTCACTGCACCTGCTACCACCTTTACTGCACTGGCCCAGCTACCACTTCAGTTGAGGCCTCTCTAGCTGCTGCATTCAGCCACATGAAACAGCTTTGATAAATGCCACTTTCTCCAGGAGAACAGTTGTGGTTGGCTGCAGGCTCCATCTCCACCCACCTCTAGGCTCCTCTCACTTCTGTTGTCCCTGCCCAACAAGCACACCCTTTGGGGACTAGAACTGGCCTATATGTCCTTCCAGTGTGATAAAGAAAGCTCAGATCCACTTCCTTCTGCTAAAAGTCTGATAACTTCTGCATCTAACTCTGTGCCCAGCACTGTGCTTGGAAGCCCAGTTTTTACTGGAGTGACCCGCTCTAGTACTCCTTTACTTACAAATGCATGAGCACAATAAATAGCTAAAGAGTTATCAATCCAATATGTGACCAAAGAGTTCAAGACCAGTGTGGCTTCAGATTAAGCCAACAGGCTGTGTCTACAGGAAGACCCCTGGTCTTCCATCACACTGGGTTTAAGTACCAGAGGGAAAGAGGACTCTTCACCCAGTCACTGACGCCAAAAGTCCCAGGTAGGGCTCAGATACTTCAGATGAGTCACATGCCTGTCCCTGGAAATAACAATGGAGTCAGCTCCACCCAAATCACACAGATACTAGAAGACCGGAGTGGCTGAGAGCAAGGGGGTGCTGGTATCCTAAGATAAACTGGGGTGCTCTAACATGTAACAGGAGAAAATGGGTCTGTTCAAACAGTAAATGGTATTCCTTGTTGTTGTCCTAATAAAAAAGAGAGGGATGGATTTTCCATTAAAACCCTTAGATTCAGATAATTCCGTGGAAACAGATGGTGCTTTAGGGGAGGTGAGGTCCTGAGTAGGAGGAAGGTGGACTTCAGGATGAGGAGCTTGAAGACCATCTAGTTAGGAAGCAGGAGCATCAAGGGGTAAAGGAATTGGAGGGACAGAACTAGGAGAGCATATAACCCAGGCGAGGCTCTTGAATGGAATGTCTCATTTGGTATTGAAGTCAGCTTTTATAGAATTACGCCTGGAGGTTCAAAGACCTTCCTAGATATTCGTCTTTAAATAAGCCAAGGTTACGAACTCAGATTCCTAGAGGGGTCAGCTAGGAAAATAAATGAATGACCTCAGCCAGGTGAGGGCCACAGGGACTGGAGGGCCCATGCCCCATACACGGGCCATGTGGGAATGTGGGCCCAGTGTGGCCCGACCTTTGCAGTTTTCAAGAAAAGAGTGAGATCTGGTGTCTTAGTTATTTAGTGCTATTATAACAGAAATACCACAAGTGGATGGTCTTGGTAAACAGAATTCTATTCTCTCACAGTTTAGGAGGCTAGAAGTCTGAATTCAGGGTGCCAGCTCCAGGGGAAGGCTTTCTTTCTCTGTTGGCTCTGGAGGAAGGTCCTTGTCATCAATCTTCCCCTGGTCTAGAAGCTTCTCAAAACACAGGGACCCCAGGTCCAAAGGACACGCTCTGCTCATGGCTCTTCTTGCTTGGTGGTAATGAGGTCCCTTTCCTCTCATTCGATTTTCTCTTCTGTATCTCAAAAGAGATTGACTCAAATACAACCTAATCCTATAGATTGTGTCCTGTCTCATTAACATAATTGCTTCCAATCCTGCCTCATTAGCATCACAGAGGTTAGGATCTACAACGCATAGAAAAATTAGATCACAAAATGGAAGACAACCACATAATCCTGGGAATCATGACCTCGCCAAGTTGACATATATTTTGGGGGCACACAGATCAATACATAACATCTAGATTTTAATGAAAATCGCTGGCATTAAATGAAAAATGTAACAACAAACATGACACTACCTGGACCTTAACAAAATACCTCTATGGTCAGTTTTGGTATGTGCACCATCAGCTCCCAAATGCTTATATAGAAGGACCTGGAAGTTAAAGAATGATATTATTATTTTATTGATTTTTTTCCTGTACCTTACCCTGATATTATTGCCTTCTCAGTTCTTTGGATTTGTTGAAGAGCTCAACTTTTCCTTTCCTGAAATCTTTAAGATGTCCAATAGTAGTAATCATCCACATTTCTAGAGCGGCTTAGTTTACAAAGTAATGTACTCAACCACCTAGCTGCTACCTAGTGACCAAGGCAGGACTCGAGTCTTAGGCTTCTGACTGTGCATCCCATGCATTTCACACTACAGGGACTGGGCTAGGTTTCACCAGGAAAGGATTAATGCCTATTAACTTTAACTGATTGTCTTCTGTGCTCATTAATTTGCTGGGATGGTTGCTTTGCGTAAATTATCTCATTGCATCCTCAGAGCAATTCACTGGGGTGATATTTTTTATTCTGATTTAATGATGAGGAAGCCAGAGCTCAAAGAAGTCATCGACCTAGTAAATGGCAGAACTGTGGATTCATTCATTCTTCCCAGGATTAAGATCAGGCAAAACTGGGACTGTCAAATGGAGAAGCAGTGGGGATAATCACCCCTTCAGTAATTAGGTGTTTTATAATAAGTTACCATCCTTAAGGGCACTGTTTTACCTTATATTGGGTCTTATGAACTATTTTAATGGGGGCCCCTTCGGTCCCATTTTGTCAGGCCAATTTGTAAGTACCAAGGTCTTCGTGTCATTTTATCAGTCATCCTGTTAGAGTATCCATGCCTACTACGGGATATTCTAGGGCAGTGGTATAATGACTATGGGAGATTCAGACCAGGCAACTGTTAAGATTAAGCACATGTATTTTTTTCTCTATTTTATAGTTAGGACTTTCCTAAGAAAATAAAAGGTACCATGTGTAAATTTAGTGGGGTCCTCAGGTATAATGTTAATTTGAGGCACAACATTTGATAAGTACCTGAAGCTATGTTAGTTTCTTTTTTCCTAGTCAAAATTAATTCATAACTTATATTGCAGAAATACAAAAGCTACCCAGGGCAATCGTTATCTTTTTTATACATACACATATATGTCTATACATATATATACAAATGTATACGTATAAATATAGATCTGTATCTGTAATAATTTACTCATTTAATTCTTCCCCATGTATCTGGGTTTTTCTATTTCATATATTTTTTTTTTTTGTCTGAATATACTTTAGGGGCATTCTGCTCACACTGACCATATTTATAAATCTGTTTCTCTAGAGAGCCTCAATTTAGTTTCTTAGTGATTCTATAACAGAGGTACCAGAAGTGGGTGGCTTTAATGAACAGAAATGTATTTTCTCCGAGTCAGGAGGTTGGAAATCCAGATTCAGGGCCTGGCTCTATGGCAAGGCTTTCCATCTGTTGGCTCAGGGGAAGGTCCTTCTCTCTTTTCAGCTTCTGTTCCTCTGCTCCTTGGCGATGTTCATGTGGCATGCCATCTGTCCTCTCCCATCTATGCTTCCTTTCTTCTGAGCTTGATCTACTCTTTCATATCTCAAAAAATGACTGGCTTAAGACACACCCTATGCTGACAGGGCCCATTAACATAACAAAGAGACGCCTATTCCCAAATGAATTACATCTATAGGTATAAGGGTGAGGATTTATCACACATAATTTTGGGGGGACACAATTCAATCCATAACATTTAGGGACCTTTCTTTTTTTTTTATTTTTCCCATACAAAAGTTTATACATACATTGTTATGTGACCCTAATTGCTCTCCCCATACTGTGACAGCACACTCCTCCTTTCCACCCCTGATTTCCCATGTCCATTCAACCAGCTCCTAACCCTCTCTGCCTTCCCATCTCACCTCTGGACAGAAGCTGCCCATTTAGTCTCTTGTATCTACTTGAGCTAAGAGGCGCATTCCTCATGAGTATCACTTTATGTCCCACAGTCCAGTCCAATCCCTGTCTGAAGAGTTGGCCTTGGAAATTGTTTTAGTTCTGGGCTGATAGAGAATCCAGGGGCCATGCTTCCTGGGGTTCCTCCAGTCTCTGTCAGACCATTAAGTCTGGTCTTCTTACTAGAATTTGAGTTCTGTACCCCACGTTT